TTTTAGTTGCGGTCATTTTGATCGTAGTACATACTGTTAAGAATTAAAGTTTTATTCATTATACAGAGATGAGATATAACTTAACGTCTAAGGCTAAGACAAAGTCTGATATATTTTTGAAAAAAAAACGCCTGAAAAAAGCTGGCAAAAGTCGCAATTTGAAAACCCGAAACTATATAACCGGCTACTTGAGAGATTTGCGTTGCAGTAAACTCGGTTGGATATTTGTTTGTCTATTTTGTTGTTTTTCTTGTGAAGTGTTCTTGTCTATATGTGAATAGTATTTCGCGTGATGATTACGATATCTACTGCATTATTATCATTTTGTTTCAGCGTACAAGAGGGAAATTGGAAAATCGCATAGACTTACCATCCAAGCACAAAAGCGACTTGATGAACTGAATGACGAATTGCGGGAGATTAAATAATTATTTTTGCATTTTCTTATTATTATATTTTTCAACATGAAATTCAAAGTATAATTTTTAATGCGCATTCAATAATTAGTGGTTGATAAGGGTAATGATAATTGGCTGTTGTTGCATTTTGCTCTTGWATACAAAATCGTAATGATGATGTTCTATTTGCAAGAACGTTAAAATAAAATGGCAGATGACATAAAGTTGAAAAGGGATTGAATCTTTATTTTAAAAAACCTATACGTGCATCTACTTTTTCGTATGTTTAATAGTGAAGAAATAAATCCCAACTATTTTTAGTTTGTCAGCCATGATTTGTATGGCCAATGATAGCGACGGCATTTTGTACAGCAAAGCATGCTGGGAGTTTAAAAAGCCCCCCCCCCCCCCCCATTAAAGCTGTCTGTATATATGTTTTCTTTTCAATTAGAAACAACAAAACTGCATCACATAACGACTGCTCATGAGGATTGTTTTGTTTTCATATGGACATGACAAAGTGCCAGAACAGAAACTCCCATTATGCTTTGTGCACAAAATTTTGTCGCTGCACATTGCATATTGTCTATTAGGTGCAAATGAGTGATTCTAAAATGGTCCTAGTTAGCTAGTGGGTCCTGTACCATGTCAAATACGGTCTAGGAATAATTTCCAGCTTTATGTCCGAGCAGGAGGCTTGGTTCGAGTTTTAAAATTGCAAAAATCTAAAGATTTATATTTGAATAAGTCGAATAAGAGAGTTTTTGACTGGCTGTAATTTTGAAATATCGATTCGACTCTACAAAACTTTGCTTTTTTTACTGATTTTTTATTGAGTTTAGATTTGCTCTTTCAGATAATGTAGGTCTCACACACCGATTTGTGCAATTTTAAAGCTTGTACTCAGTTTCCTGCTCGGAATTGAAAGCTGGCAATAAGCTCCTCCATGTGGGATGTTTTATTATAGAGCGGATTTCGAACGTATGACTGTGCTAAAAACACGGTTACTTTCGCGCTGTGACCGTACCGTGCCGTAGCGGTGATGTATTGTTAAAAATCTTTATTTTCATTTGGAATCCTAGAAGGCGAGGTTCCGTGCCGTGCCGTGTTGTGATCCGTGCCATTGCACAGTCAGTACGAAATCCGCTCTAATACGGSCGCATGTATGATGTAGATGATATTTCTATTCTAAACACTGGCCTATATTGTTGCGAAAGATTGTTCGATTTAACATGCCCACCTCTATTTTCTCTTGCCTCTACTTAATATATAGTTACATTAAGCAGGTATAACTGCGAGATTTGGTCAAATTTGCGGTTTTCCAGAATTAATTTTTAACCTCGATAAATTAAAAAAACAAGACAAAAACAACTTCCACAATTACCTTAAAATCTCGTCACTATTATTAGTAGAAAAAAAAACTAGAGAAAATTTGTATTTGAAAAATGAAATTCCCGCCAAGAATAATACCGCTGACTAGGCTGTCACGAGGTCGCATTTTGACCTTTGGAATCGGCACCTCCTTATTTGGAGGTTCTGTCAAATAGTCCGAAATAGCGCGCTGTGATTGGCTGTTTTTGTACCTGGATGAAATCTTTACTTCAAAATGATTATTGCGCCAGTTCGGAAAATAATTTGCCATCATCCCTAAATAAATCTTCGTTTGGGCTTGAACTTTCGTTGCGTAAGCTTTGCATAAAGCCACAGTGATCTCCTCAGAGCAGGTAGTAGATATTTATTATTTAAAAACAACTGGTTGTTGTTTGGGCGATGGCAGATTTTGAGAGTGAAAACCCKGARTCTCACGACTTCATAAACGTCGACAAACCAGAGTCCGAGGTGGTGTCAACCGAACCCGAGCCAGAACCTGAACAAGAAGTCTCTTCAACTACTGAAACCATGGATTCTACTCAACCTGAGTCAGAAGAACAGTTTCAGAAGCAAGAAAAAGACGAAACTCCAGAGATTCCAGAAGAAAAATCGGCCGTTGTGGATGACAAACCTGCAGTCGAAGCGGACTCGACCACCACTTCACGAGGTTCGAGCCTGATTGCACATGTTTGAATGGCGAAATATTCCTGCAATTTGTTTTAATGCTGAAATATTTAAGCAGTCATCGAATAAGTGTTTGCTTAGCTCCGAGATATTTAAAAGCTCTATAKGTACACCGTATCATTAACATTTGACTCGCAATTTGAATCAAATGTGGGAATGCTAAGCCAATTTCATTTTGGATAATTTTCGAGAATGGCTGTGGTTCATTGAAGTGCAGATTTGTCCAGTTGTTTCACCATTCGCGAACAGATGTTATAATTTGATTTTTCTCCTTGTTAGAGTTGACAAGCTTCCCAGCTCGGTGGATGAAAGAAAACAACTTMGACAAAAGAGGTCAGTAAATTTGAACAAGTTGTACATTGCTTTTGTGTACGCAAATGGAGATCGCTGGCGCTCGACCAAGAGGGGTTAAAACGSTTTGACACTGTAAAAATATGTCTGTGAATTCGCATATCGGTAAAACACACTAACTATACTTCCAATGTTTTCATTTTGAATACACCTAAATTGGCGACCCACCCTATTTTCCATAATTTTATTTTTGTAAATTAGCAACGAAAGTTTATCTCGAAAAATTTCACGTCAGATGAATTTTTCCTTTGAGCAAACACTCATTTCCAGATTGCTCCTTGCCTTGATTTTTTTTAAAAGGGTTTATTTATCGATAATATTGGGTTTTCTAAAGGGTTTGAGGTTTGACATGACCGACGAACCATAGCTTACACAGTACAAAATTCGGGTGTGTTTTGAGAGCGTTCGTTACCCGATTGGAATCGTTATTTTGGTTTGAATTATTTATTTCCAGCTAGTACTGAATTATTATGTTGAGGTGTGGTGTACTTCATAGGGGGATTAAATCGATGAAWTTTGTCAAATTTCGTGAACTGATTTTATATTTTGGCCAGTAGYTGATTTATTTGATATTTTTAGCTATTGGGTGGTTGATAARCCGAAAATTGGGTGTGCTACATCGAGCTTACTGAATGTGGTTTTCACCTGCGTTGTGTTTACTTTCAAAAAGCCTCCAGGACTAGCCTAATGTGAACAAAATTYCTTTAAAAAATAATGTGTTCTRTTTATTTCCTATTATTTAATTCCCATTTTTTCAAATGTATTCACTTTCCTTTTGTAAGCCAAGCAAATTTTCATATTTATATATCCAATTTATACAGAAATACTKGAAACCCCCATAGCTTTTTGTATGTGGTTTTGATGTATTTTACATTTTATATTATTTTTTCTTTTCAAGTTTTTTTGAAATTATATTTTTTCTAAATGTTRTAATCAGCTGACACATCCATCATTACTGTCAAAGTTCAGTATAATAYTGCTCAATGTTCCTGTAATGGCTGCTATCTATTTGATTTCCATATTGTTATTATGATTTCTTTGGGGGTTTATAATACATTCTAATCTGTATTTTGAGCTTTGAAAATGCTATTGTTTCCTGAAATAATAGAATGTATATAGCTGTTCAAAGGATAAATATTWCAAAAACACTGTACATACAGCAAATTTAACAGCTAAGAAGTTTTGTTTTTGTCAAGCATCAGWTACATGTAAATAAAAACATTTCTCRTTCTGTTTGAACTCTAAATTAAAATTGATACATCAGTTTTACTGCAAAGTTTCAAATTTTTTCCCTTGTTTTAATTCAGTATATTTGAACCAACTATGTAGCTGTCATAACTGTCATTTCAAATTATAAACTTTTAATACTCTAAGGCTTTAGATATTACTATTACTGTTCGCGCTTAGCATCACTTCCAAACGTTTTTGAAGTTTTATAGTATACACTCAACAAAAATCCAAGACAACTGCATTTGAAAAAGTTGTCTAGAATTATAACATAAAGCTGAATTGACAACACTCCTRGGAGACGCTATGTTTACATATCTAAAACCTTATGAAGTATAAGATTGTCAGACTTGTTGGACCGATTTGCATTTAAATCTATTAAGAACCACGCTATGATATCATTTTCGAAAAAGGAAATTATTCTTTATCTCAGCTTTGCAATAAAAATCGCATTTTGTGTTTTTATTCAAATTCTTACATTATGTTTACATAAAAGCTCCTCAAGCATGAATTCCCAAGGCACAGTTCTGTCACTCAAGCTCAAGTCAAGGATTTAATAAATTCTTTTTAAAACTGATGCGCAACAAGATGACAAAGTGTTGAATATCTCCATCTATTTTTATTTCATAAAATGTTTGAATTATGTTGTTATTGCATGTAGATTCAAGCATGTCAACCTAGAATTTAACTATTTTAGGGCAAGGAGATTAAATTGTTTTTTAGGTTGATATAGTTTGATCTACAATTAATATTGAGTCAAAATCCAGCCTTCATGACCATGGTAACAATTTGCTATATAGAATGGTACCAAAGAATTTCTTTTTCAGTTCATTTCAGTCTATACTTCAGAAAATTAATAAATTATTCTTCATGACATGCAAATGTGTTATGTTTTTGATAGTTTTTCATACTTTTAAATGATATGATATTCAATCTCATAGCATTCTTAAAGCCCTATTTAGTCTGTTAAGTTCTTATTTAGTGCTTCCTGAATTTACCATAGTTTTGAACCAAATCGACACTTAAACAGCGACTATTTTGATGGAAAGGTTTATTAAAAGCATTAATTATTAAGTTATAAAGAAACATTTTGAGTAAATGGCAGCAACTGTCCGATGGACTTTATATTTTTCATTCTCTCTGTATACTAATTGCATTTCTTTAACAGTTATCGACCTCATTTACTGGAGGAATGTCAAGAAAACGGGAGTGGTATTTGGTACAGAGCTGGTAGTGCTGCTGTCGCTAGCTTGTTACTCACTACTGAGTGTYGTTACATTCTTCTCAATGGCAGTTCTTACTGTTGCTCTTCTGTATCGTGTTGGAATGACTGTCATGGGAGCCATCCAGAAAAGTGGATCTGAGAACCCTTTCAAGTAAGTTGGCTAAGAATTGAGTTATTACAATGGGTTAAAGTGGCTGTCTTTATAACCTATTTTGTATGGCTGGTATGATTTTCAAGTCTGAGTTGTTCAGATATTGATAAGTGCTAATCCTGAGTTTACTTTTAAAAGACATTGCGTTAGTCCTGGATTAAAGGCCCAGTTTGCACCATTATGCTTTGTACGTCTCTGTTATTGTTATGATTTACACCAAAATACTTCTAGTATCCAGATATCACCATAAAACGAATTTCAGATAGTTGAAGACTCTTATATTAGCATTTTAAAGTGCTTAGAAAAGTGAGATGGTCTAAGATTCAAAGCACACAGTACAATTTATAGCCTTTCGGTAAACTGAAAATGTCCACCTCTCTGCCCCCAAAGCATAATGGTACACACTGGGCCTTTAATGGTAATCAGGCTTTGAACCTACAATCTTTTGCAAAATTATGTGAAACACTGTCTATGATTGTGTTACTACAACCTCCCCTCCMCTTTTACAATGTTGTTTGTCAATGAATTGATACAAAATCAACAAGGATGAGGAAAGGAACGTGCGTGCAACCTTGCAGTGGGTAAAGGGGGTAGGGTGTTCTGTATATTTTGCATAAGATTGTASCCCAGTCTGGACAGTGCATTCCATTTGAGGACCTAACTTCATTCTTTAGAATAGACCTTTTGCCCAGTTTTTCATGACATGGACCTTCATTCTTAGTACTATCAAAATAAGTGCTGGTATGTAGTGAATGCAACCCACAATAGGATCAGTTACCCTAGATAAAGAAAATATATTAATGTTCTTTTTTTTTGTCTGACATTTAGGAAATATTTGGACAAAGACATTGAGATCTCCAAAGAAAAGGTTTGTTAACTATTACTTACTATTTAACAATTAGAYCTCRAGGGCAAGTGGACTACGAGCTGATAGCCCATGAGGACAAAAAATTGTTTTAGTATTACCATACTAGTTGGACAAAAAATGAATGAAATATGTAAATAACTAAATGTTTTTATTTCTTAAAATAYGCAAAAAGTTGTTGCTTTTCGCTASYCGAGGACTATTGAAAATAGACCCCGMRTAGCRTAGCCAATCASAACRAAGGATTTGCAATAGTCCACTWGTATGGTAATACTAAATAATTATGGCAGTAAATAAAACTGTTTGTATTTCATTTTATTGTGGGCGTTGAACCAAGGGAAAGAACTGTTTCCTCTCTTTGTGTAATAATAATTGGTGGTTTTGATATAATATATGTACACTAGTCTATATACTTAGATCTATGTCATATTTTATATGTTATATTTTAGGCATCTGAGTTTGTAGAATGCGTTGTTGGACATGTTAATTGTGGCACCAAAAGACTGAGAAGACTTTTCCTGGTTGAGGACATTGTGGACTCTATTAAGGTATTTTTCAGATTTTGTTTCATATTGATGGTCCTTTTTGTGTATTATTCACAATTTGGATTCAGCATGGAATTTAAACTTTAATTTTATAACACTTTTGTCAAGATTGTCAATAGTTTTCAAATTAAACAGTGTAATTGACAGACCAGTCAAACTTTGACCCWAATGTGTTAATSTGCTGTTTATCAACAGTTTGGTGTTATTCTGTGGGTGTTGTCTTACATTGGTGCTTGGTTTAGCATGCTAACATTGCTCATTCTAGGTAAGAYMGTGTTTAGAGGAGGCGGGTGGYGGAGAGGAGGGAGGCGRTGGTGGTKGTGGCTTTGAGGTTGGCCTACCTAAAAGAATCATGTTAGAGGGGGATGCATATTTAATYATTATCCTCTATTACTTGTATATTCAATGCCACATATTTCTGAAGAATCAAAAGAATGGGGATCTTACTGATAAGAAATGAATGGCATATGATATAAGTAATTTGTACAACTGCTTAGTGAACTCAACCAAGGAATTGTACCCTTACTTGTTGCACCATGTCCAAAGTCCAAACAACAAGACCAAATTTTTGCTTCCAAATGAAATGAATGTTTTGATATATGAGTTTGATTGAATGCATAAATCATTGGCTATTGTCATTTTTCAGTGCTTCAWGTAATATTGAGAACTGGTGTTTCCTTAATCCATTATTGATTCTTCCACCAAAAATTTGAAATTTAATGATAATGTTTTGTTGTCTTCTTTATCCYAGCTGTGATTATGGCATTTTCTCTCCCATGGGTCTATGAAGAACATCAGGTACACTATTTATTTGTTTATATTCAATAATGTCCTCATTTACTGTTTTTAGCTAAGTATTTTCAGAGTAAATGTTATCTTTATATAACACAAACTCTGCTGGTTAAAAGTTTTGGGTTTTTTTTCATTTGTTTGTTTTGTTTTAGGACAAAATTGATGAAGTGTTAAAAACAGTTCACTCTCAAGTRAAGACAATCATTGAACAGTAAGTACTAGAAGCTGCCACTTACTAGACTTATGGTAGAACCATGTGGAAAAAGGGAATTAGTTTGATACCTAGAAATAATGCTGCAATTATATTATATACCAAAACCCTATTTGCCAAGTTGTTCAAAGCTCTATTAGTATTAACCATGGTAGCGCACATAGTGGCTCTAGGGGAGGGGGAAAGCAGAATATAGAAGGGAAGGGGGTGTCCCCCCTAGAAAAAACTTCCATTTTCTTCCTTCCCCCTCCCCTAGAGCCACTACACAGGCTACAGCTATAGATGACCTCAAATAAGAAACCTTGATTCAAAAATGCACAAGCACGAATCTGTCTTTAAACAACCTGGCCCAGCTGGTTAGACTGGTTATTGGTGTTGCATAAAGTCATTAAACAATATTCAAAGTGTAATAATTTTACACCGAAAAAGACTAGAAAAATGTTTATAAATTTCTTCTGAAAACATGATGCTCCATAAATTCAGCAATAATGTCTGGTTTACACGAGAAAGTGTCCCAAGTTGTAGGGCTGTCTCTTCCAACTAGGGGCACCCAGAAAAATATTGACCTGGATATCAGAGGTCGAAAGTAACCCTTTTTAATTAAGTCTTCAAAATGAACGGCGTAAATAAACAACAAGAAAAGGTAAATTCCAAACTATTGTATCCAGGAAAAGCAATACTTTACTAATAAGCTTTAGTATAAACATACTAATGGTCTATCACTCATACTGCGCTTTGATTGGCTACTTTACTAGTGGTCTAATTTGTGATAGAGCACTCGCGGGAAAATCAAAATGAATAAATTATTTTGAGGATATTTCAATTTGTTTTCATTATTTGGCCGATTGGCTCTGGCAGTGTGCTTGGGGCCAGCAACCCCATCACACTTACTTATTGCTACGGAAACCAATACTAAGATTGAAATTCTTAGTAGCGGCCCTACATGCCACCTAGGCGTAATAGGAATGATGATGATGATTTGGCCGATTAGTATGTTTATGCTAAAACAATTAGACCTCTCGGCCTCGTGGACTACGAGCTAATAGCCCATTCAGCATCGCGGACTCGGCCTCATGGGCTATTAGCTCGTAGTCCACTCGACCTCGAGGTCTAATTGTTAAGTATAGTTAAACGGCTTAAAAAAATCCAACTAATTTGAAACTCAAATCCGTTAAAATTCTTGGAGAAATTGCCGTACAAATATGTTCCGAGATAAATGGGGCAAACTGATCATGCGCGAATCACCTTACAAAGCACTCTTGTCATCCCACATTGAATACGCATAAAGTAAAATAGAAGCGCTCTTGGCTGTTCAATGAAATCGGTTGACATCCTGCATTGGTCAATGATCAGGTTTCAAACCTGAGACCTTTGCTAGGGTCATGGACCTTTATATCTGATAAAGGTCACCCTTATTAGTATTCTTTATATAAAGAATACTAATAAGGAGTGTTTTATCAGATATAAAGGTCCATGCATGTGACCAAATAGGCTCATTCTATTGGCCTAGTAGCTCATTAATTATGTATGAGTTTTTTAA